ACTAACGACTACGCCGAAGTGCCCGGTAGAGCGTAGCCTACTTCAATACAAGGGGGGTGGAACTTAAGCTGTCTTGTCGAACCGCGACGATTACCGGTTAGAGTTGGAAATAGCTCGGGAATCGAGAGCGGCGATGAATTACCGAACCTAGCCGTTGGTTAGTCGTAAGTCCTTTAGGCCTTGCCTCGACAAGCGTACATATACGTTCGATACTAACCCGAGTTATGTTTCGGCAGGTGCCGCACACTTATTTAATTGCAACATCGGACTATCCTTTGTACCTCTCTATAACTAAATAAAACTTCTACGTAGTAGCCCCTCTCGACCCTTGTCGGCCTTATTGGCCATGGCTAACTCCGAGTAGCCGTAGGCTAAACTCGAGTCGCTGTTGAACAACCGCGGCGCCGTCTACGAGGGTGACATCTTCGCCCTCTTGTAGGAGTTACGTTACGTAGTACGCTCCTAGGAGTTCGCGTTGGCGGACGGAGCTATAATGTATAACATGCAATTTGAACCCTCCGACAGCTTCGCAAGCCGCTTTTGCCGAGCCTATTGCGAAGCCTTCTTCTAGGCTAGCGTAGACAAGGAACATCGCTTTGTTTTGTTCGATATTAAGGGGAAGCGACAATTTAGCAAAGGCCCTTAAGCGGCGTACTCCTCCTCGGCTAGCCAATAGCGGCACGTTGGCTTCTTTGTTAGTATGTGCGCCGTAGATCCCTCCTTCGTCGAGCTTGTGCCCAACTTCGAACAGCGCCTGTCGGACGGGAATGCTCTACACGAAGCCCTCGAAGGTACTTGGCCGGGCGATAAAGCCGTAGAAGGCAAAGGCGATGTAGGCGGGCACAATGCCTAGTACAATACAAGGGTAACGCGCCTCCTACCCTCTACTATTACCGTCGACCCGCAAAGCTCGCTATATCGCATGCCGCGCCGCCTGTTGCTGGATGCAATCTATGTAGTCCGCTAATGTACCCTTACCGGCAAGGTCTACGTTAACCTATGGACTAAAGTGCGTTTCGACGGATGGCGCCTACGCATGATCTCCTATCTAGACTTTCTTAAGCTACTACTATACACGCAACACTACACTGCGTATCTTGCGACTTTGTACATCTTCTAGGCTATTTAGGACTAGAGCTTCGACTTCGGTATGACCTTCGACTTCGTCGGTCTCTAACCCCGTATTGCCGACTTTAAGCTGTTGCTATATAGTACAAAGGACGCCTCGGCTCCTATCGAGCAACGCTTTATCTAGCACAAGGTCGATGCAATAGTATAGCGGTCGAGCCTCGCTACCCTAAGCCGAGTCGGGGTAGCGAGGGAGACTAATGTCGGAGATCGCTAGTACTACTTCTTACACACTAAGCGGTGGGCCCGCCGACTCCTTTATACACAATCTACGAGCTAACGGCAGTATAGGTTCGACTTCTTCTTCTACCAATTCGAGTTCTCTAACGGTAACAACGCGTTTTTCTTCATCCCGGAGTGTGCGCTTTCGGACTCCTTCTACGTTAGCGAGGAGCGCGACGCCGACTTCGAGCCGTTCCGCGTAGACTTCTACATTAACATAACTAGCAATGGCGTATAGGTCCGCGAGATGAAGCAAATTGTACATCGATACCCGAACCTACGCCGGCCCGGCCATCGTCCTATTAGGCATCTACTTCCTATAGCTCGGACCGGCGTTACGAATGCTGCTACGAGTCTACCTAAGTAAGATCACGGACGATATCTCTACGCCTAGGCTCTAAATCGATGTCAGCGCGACTTCTACGCGAACTTTATAACGGGATGCGCGCATCGCTTGTCTAGCGCCCTCCTTGTCCTCTCTACTAACTACGAGGTTGGCGATTTCGTCTACTACTGCTACACGTAGACTCGCCAAGAGCAGTCCCTCTTCTTAAGCGAATGTGTCCCTCCTATTACTGTCGATTATGTCTCTAGCGACAATGCTATAGTGCCTTATTTCTATCTAACGCGCGACTTAGAGATCTTACCTACGGGACCTACCCTGCGAACAGCCCCGTTCCGCCGGCTCGACGGATCTAAACGGCCGCGTCTAGTGCTATGGAACATTTAGGGTTCTAACGGTACCGGGACGGAAGCCTACGATGTCGACGAGCAGGACGAGTCTAAGCTAGATAAGGCGCGAGCATGCGGCTCGCTAGTAATCGTGCCTTCGGACGACATACGGCCTACTGCCGCTTAACGGGAAATACATCGCATTAACGCGGAGCTAGACACGAGGCTACAGCGGTAGGCGAGGACCCCCGACGTTGCAATGCTCCTATTAACTTCTCTATTCCTCGTAGATTATACGGTAGGGAGTAGGGGCGTGTCTATGTTTGGAAGTAGCTACGACTAGGGCGCTGTCTACAATCTCTTCGACAAATTCGTAGCTCTAGACCGGATATCTCATCTACAACACTATTAACGTCGAGTAGCCGATTACAGATAGGAGCTACGCGAGGTCCACGAGCATCTTGTAATGCGGCATCGAGCTCAAGCCTTCGCTCGTATAGAAGTGCCCGCACCCTCTTAAATAGGCTTGAAAACCGACTACGCATAGCAAGCGATATGCGTAATAACTTCGAAGGCAAGGGTAAAGGGTACATAGGAAAGAGAATTACGCGAGACGCACACCTCGTACGCTTACATTCGACGCACGCATAGTGCGACCATCGCCTTGTACATTGAGCAGTACCATCTAGCGTAGCGTATACTTTGGCGGCCCTCGGGCACGCCCCTTCGGACATACACCCTATTATCGTACCGCCTTTATCTAATCGTTACGGGCGTCGATAGGCCCATTATGTGCCGTATTACCTCTAACTAAGCACCTTATCCGAGTCCGAGACAAGTCCTTCGTTAAAGACGTAAGCTCCGGGTCCGAGCCTCTAAACGTGTGCCGCTTAGGTTACTAGCAACACGCGCGTATCTCGACTCGCCTAGGATAAAAGGGAATATCTACCTGCCCGTATGTCTTGACTTACATTTGTAGCGCAATAGGCGAATCTCTCGTCTTAGGTGTCGCTTATCGAGCTCGAGACACTCCCGGAAAGCGCGACAATGCCCCTTATAAGATCTCTTACTACGCTCTTGCGCGGTTAGCCTAGAGTCGCTAGAGCATTTACTAAACGCGCGTACTACTATACCGTCAACTTAAATTTAGCTAGCTAAACCTACCTACCTCGAGCCTTCTCTAACCGCTACCCCTCGATCTAGTATTACTCGCCTGCCTACTTCATTATGTCCGGCCCGTGCGACGTTATTATCCGCTTCGGGCATTACGGCGAAGAGCTTACAATGGATGTAGAGCTTGCTACGTCTTACTCCCTACTAATTAAGCGCTATGTCGACGAGCGAAAGGGCAAGCGCATTAGATAGAGGCTGCTCGGCGCTAGCAAGGAAGATCTCGCGCCGTACACTGTTAAGATCTCCGAAGCGGACAAACCTACCTTAGCTATCTAGCTCGACTACGTCTCCGGTTACAAAAGGCTCGAAATCGCCTCTAATACTCGTAAAGCGACCATTCGCCTCTACGTTAGCTGTCTTACACTTGGCAAGTACCTCGAGGATACCGCCTTTATAGCGACTATAGAGGGCGCCTTCGTAGATTATGTCGGCGTGGAAATCTCGAGCGACTCGTTAGTAGTGGGCGTTCTAGGACTCGTTGACGTTCTCGCTACTATGGACGTAGTAGGCGGCTCGCGGACTATTACTATCTCGGCATCCCAACTTCTTATTAAGGCCGCCGTTGTAGACTTGGCCGCTAGGCATAGAGAAGAGCTTAAGAAGGCGACAGCTACTACGGCGCATAAGTCTACTAAGATCCAGCGGCTCTATCGTGCTTAGGAAAGCCTAGGGAAGCTAGTCTTGCTAGAACAAGACTACCGCAAGGAGTATTAGATAGAGTTGGATACTCTACGGAAGGACCGAATAGGGATAGAGGAGAAAAAGAAGGACAAGGACAAGGAGCTCCGCGCGGTCAAGATAGAGATACGCAAGCTACGTGCTAAACACGATGTGCAGGTCGTAGAGCTCTACTAGCGTGTGTAGTCCGAGGTCACGTCCGGGCTTACTACTAGCAAAGACCGCGAGGAGGATAAGGAAGCGCACGAAGTTAGAGATTCGCGGCTAGTAAAGAGCAAGGCCTCGCTAGCGAGACTACGGGCGACAGCCTCGAAGCCTTTAGCCCTAAAGGCTCGTAAAGTAGTACCGTAGGGCAAGAAGTCGGCTGCTTCCGCCGCGTTAAAGGTTACCGGCCTACTACTCCTTTCGCTACTATCGTCGAAGAGCACCGGCCTACTATCCCTCTCGTCGCTACCTATCGCACTAGTTAAGCGCAAGCGCGGCGAAGTCGCTAACGAAGACTCGGTGCGCGGGCATAAGCGCCCCGGTGTCAACATCTTCCGCCGCGAGGACGCTCCCTCCGATAACTATCCTATAGACCGTTCGCCCGTGTACAAGCGCCCCGGTGTTAATATCTTCCGTCGCGAGGACGCTCCTTCCGAAGATCATCCTATAGATAGCTCGCTAGTGTACAAGAGACGCGGTAATGGCGACGACGCTATAACGACGCGACAATTTGCGGAGTTGCTTAGTAATGACGACGACGAAAGTATAGACCGTAACTTAGACGACGAGTAATAGGAGAGGTAGCAAAAAGGTCGAGCTATAGGCCCGAGACATACTATAGCGGCCGAGGCAAGGTGGAGCGACTATACTATGACTTAGCATTATATAGAGTTATACGTACGCCAAAGGTAGAGCACCTATACTATAACTTAGCATTATATAGATTCGTACGTGCGCTAGTACGTTTTCTTCCTAACTCGTTCCTATCGTGTCTACATTGTTGGATTCACAATCACGCACGCCTATTCCCGAAACAAATGGCGTCCCACGTTCCTAATCGAGGACCGAGGCTATGTGACACCGTGAAAGCGGAAAATAATCAGGTATATACAGCCCACGGACTTGTTCTTCTTAGAATTATGGGGCGCTTGGTCTAGGGGTATGATTTTCGCTTCGCAAGTTGCAACAGCAATTGAGTATGTGAAAGGTCGCGGGTTCGAATCCTGCAGCGTCCACTAGCCTTGGAGATGTAACGGCCTATTTCTTTTTGCTCACGTCAGTTCCAATATTTTCCATCTTGCGCCCTTGGGCCCCCTGTGTTTGGGAGGAACCGAGGCTCTGACGGACATCGTCTTGTGGCAGCTTCATTGGCTAGGAAAGGTCATCTTTACAGCTTAACGGGTTTCAAGAGAGCTTCACAATCGCTTCTCATTCGTCTGCTTGCACAGCGGCGTTGTGTCTTGATGCGACATATCCACTGATCGATTCGCGCCCGCCACATCCCGATATTTGCGCCCGGAGTTTGCTACCACTTCGTTACAGATGCGGCACACAGCTGGCCAACTAGTGTGGTCCGCTGGCCGAGACTCGGCTACAGTCGGCATGCTTGCTCCATCCCATCCGTAGGGATGAACGTCACGACGAGGGCCCGCGCGGACGCTCATTCAGCGAGCGCCGCATCAGGACTTGGCTCGCTGGCGCGGCGAATGCCGGCCCGCGCCGTCCATCATCGAGCTTCGGAGGTACTCGGCGTGCCTCTGGTGCTGCCATTGCGGTCGCTTGGAGGTCTCGCAAGTCCCATAGCTGGACGCTTTGAACCGATCGAGGAGCAGGCCCCAGTGTCCCGCCGCAGGGCTTCAGACTGCCTCCCCCTACGGCTTCTCGTCCGCCGTGTCGTTCTTGACCTTCGCATCCTTCTTCGCAGGCCGGTCCCCGAAGATCGTCGTCCCCACCCGCACCTCGTCGCTGCCTTGCCCGATGGCAGCCTCGAAGTCCGCGCTCATGCCCATGCTCAGCTCCAGCTCGCTGGCGTCGATCCCCAACTCTTTCGCGACTCTGTCCCTAGTCTCCCGTAACGCGACGAAATCCTCGTTCACGTCTTCCGCAGTGCTCGCCTGCTGGCTGCGCGCGATGGCGCCGATCGTCATCAGACCCGCGAGCTGTAAGTGAGGGCACTTCTCCCGGACGTGCTGGCATAATCCCACGATCTCGCCCGGCTCGACACCGCTCTTCTCCGCCTCGCCGGACGTGTTGACCTGCACCAGCACCCGCAGCTTGCGGCCCAGCTCCTGCTTCTCCGCCAACGCCGCCCGGCCCTTCTCCAGCGCATCCGCCTTCTTCGCCGTGTCCACGCTGCTGACGCAGTACAGGTTCGCGACCTGCTCAGCGAGGGGTTTGCACTTGTTCGTCTGCAGCGCGCCGATCATGTGCCATTGGATGGTTTTTGGGAGGAGCCCGGCCTTTTCCGTGAGTTCCTGGGCGTAGTTCTCGCCGAAGTCGAGGTGTTTGGATGGGTCTTGGTGCAGAGCTAGGACGTCGTTGGCGGGTTTGAGCTTGGAGACGGCTATGAGGCGGACCTGATCGCCTCATTAGCGGCAGCCCATTGACTCGAGGGGTCGTGATTGTATACCTTCCGGCCACCAGCCGCCTTCTCGACCCGTTGGTAGACACTCCCGATGTTCTCCGCGAGCAGCTTCGCTCGCTGCGGCTCGATGCGCATGTCGCTGTCGGCAGTGTCCTCCTCCATCCGCGCTGATGAAGAGGCCAGACTTGGACATGTTCGTCACCATCGTCATCTGCCCTCGGCCTAGCTCGGTAGATTTCACCCCGAACCACGCTACTGTAGTTCTAGTGCACGGCCCCCGGACTTTCCAACAATGCGATCTGAGGTGCTCCCCCATCTCCCTCCCATGTGATCCAGACGGCCGATCTCGATAAGACTTCTCTTCCCATGGCCGCAATGGGACGTGTGATACCTCGCCGGCGCCCGCCCTTCGAACCAGCTGGCTGAAGACCGCGCTTCTTCTCCCATGGGCAGCCCGTTGAAATCTACTCCAGACCGATCTGTTACCTCTCATCCGTGAGTCAAGTAGCAAACCCTGGCAGGCCCGTCGGTCTAGGCGGTGCGCGGTCGAGCAGCGGCCCCTGGCCCGCGAGAGCTACATGTATACGCTGCGACACCGCCGAACCTAGGCAGGGCCCTAGCGCCCCCCACCGGCGGACCTCACTATAGGGCCGTTCCCGCTAGAGCAAGATCGTGACGGCTCGTCGGTCCCCCTACTTGCTGCGTAGGGCTACTCGCCAATCCGGGGGCACCACGGGGCTGTAGACCCAACGCCCAAGCCGCACCTAGGCTATCGCAGTGTCGACCTGACTTGCCGGACCGGGCCACTAGGGCGTGTAGAGAGGAGGTGAGGAGTGCATGGGGCAACGGCCGCTGCGAATGCGAACAATTGCCTTGAAAATCTAGGGCATTGCTGCGATGGTAGTGTCGTTCGTACAGTACCTCCTTATGAATGGGCCGATTACCATGCTCATCACAGCCTAGCTACAACTTCGGCGCATCCCGCTCCACAAAATCCCACCGATCAAATTGCCGATGATAGAACTCCACCACTCCCACAATCAACCCATCTCCTTCCCTGACCACCAGATCCACCATCGCATCGAACCTGAAGTCCCTCCCGGACGCCCGCAATGTCGGCAGATCCGCGCGAAACGTCCCCTCATTCCGCGTGCGCAGACTGTACTTCACCAATCCCCCGCCCAGATCCAGGCCGGGGAATGCTTGGGTGACCGTGGCGCGGAAATCGGGGTTTGCGCTGCGCCAGAGGGCGAAGTGCTCCGCGAGCCCGGCGTGGCCGCGGCGGATGAAGCCGAAGGCATGATCGGTGTAGGTTGCGTCTGCGGTGTAGAGGGCGGTCCAGGCGGACGGATGGGGTTGGGACCACGCGGCGCACCAGGTTGTGCCGGCTGCAGAGGCGGCGGCTACGGAGACTGGGACGGGGGAAAGAGTAGGTTAGGGTCGGGATGTAGAGTGTTAGGGGGTAGACAGGGTGGGACGCACGGTCAGGCATGCTGGAGTAGGACTGTTGGGGTGCTTTGGTGTGCGAGGGCGGACTGAGATCTAGAGGCAGTGAATCCACCGTTGGTGGTGTGAGGCGAAGTACTACTCAATCTGTGCCATCGACACTCGTGTGCACTTCGGGTCGCGCACTTCTGCAATCGTCAGCCGTCCCCTCATCCTCCCGGACCTGCGATCTCGAGGGCACGCGTAAGCACCGAGCTAACATACGTACATGCGAGACGGGCTGCCCGATATAGACATTAGCCACCGTGGACATGTTCCGGGTAGGACTATAGAGGCATTTCGCGTCGGTCTTACGACAGAGCGTATTGGTCTAATCTATATAGGCCTTCTAGGCGACCTCTCTTAATAGGCTAGTTTGGGTCTAGCTATAGCTAGATATATAGCTCTATACTATATTTAAATTAAGTGAATTTACTATAGTGTTGCGATCCGACAAAGTCGTCTCGACGTAGTAGAGCTCGGTAGGCTTAGTTAGTGTCAAGACACGGGTGTAGGAATTCTTCTCTCTATATTAGTAGAACCTAATGAACCTCTCTAAGTAAATCACTAAGCGTTAGTATGCGAAGACCTTTTAGTTAGATTGAAATATAAGTTGAACACGAACTACCTATATAGAGATCTATCGCGATATATACAAAGGAGATTCGTGTCTCGTTGTCCTACTCTATATGCTTTATGTACTCTATAACTATAGAGCAATAAAGTAATAGAGCAACCCTAGTTACGTAAATAGTTTTGCTCTATACGCTAAGACGGACGCCTAATAGAGCAAGTTGCTCGTATAGAGTCTTCCGCGTTATGTGCTACGATGTTCGTAACACTATCCCCCTTCTAGTCTAGCTCGGTCCCCGAGCTTATTTATTCTAATGTTCGTCTCCGTTCTTTCTTTAACGGTGCCTTCTAGAGTTCGTAAGTACAAGTCGTCCCGCGAGCGTCGAATTACACTTGCTAGTTTTATCGACGAGTACGGCGACATTATGCCAACCGTTTATAACTATTACAAGGTTAACAAGAAGGTATGCCGTATCTATGTTTAGAGTAGTTAGTATAACGAATACAACCGTTCGAATTTCTTAGATTGCGACATCCGGGTAACGTCAAATAAGTTCTCGAAGTTAGTAAGAGAGCGGAAGTCCTTAGTGTCTAGGATCGATAAAGCGCGCGCGGCGACGGTAGCTACGCAATCTATAGTAATGGATGCTTAGAGTCGTTTAAGTAAGGCGTTAGCGAAGGAGATGCGGCTACATCGTTAGCTAGACTAGAATAGTCGTCGTGCCGACGAAGCGGTTGCTATTAAAGAGCGTAGTATTACGGAGTAGGAGACGGAGGAGTTTATAGTAGAACTCGATCTTCCGTTATTCGAGCCTACGTCTTAGGATGATCGATTGATAATGAGTCCTTCTAGCTAGGATGCTTTCGTCTAGGGCGTCCCCGGATATAGTGTCGACATCCCGGAGGTTCCGAGTTCGTAGCCTAATCCTTTATAGGAGGTAATCGAGACCTAAGATCTAGTAGTCGATTTCGTGTAGCGCTACTAGAACTTACGAAGTTCTTCTATGTAGCGGGTAAGATGTTCCTTAGGTTCCTAAGTGTTGTCTAACTCTAGGTAGCCCTTCTACTTAACGAGGTAGCGCTAACCTCGTTTTTCTAGGACCTTCTTGACTTCGAATTCGTTATCTTCCTATAGTTCGAAGTAGAACGCCGTTTGTAGCGTAGAGTCCGGGTCTACTAGTTCCAAGAGTAAGATGTAGAACATTAGGTATATCCTAGCATCTTTAGGTAGGCTAAGCTTGTAGCTAGCCTTACCTCTTTATTTGTTAACTAAAAATGGTCCGACCTTTATATAATCTAGTTTCTTTGTACCTCGTCGTATCTTAAGGTTCTTCGTAAGGAGGTATACCTTATCCCCCTTCTTAAGTAGAGGTGCCGTTTTTAAGTCTTTGTGTTAGCTACTTGTTAAGGCATTCTAGGATTTCGTAATTGCTTGTTACATTATAGTATAGATGTCCTTAAGTAATCTAGAGTTAGCTAAGGCCCTGTCGGTCTATAGCCTAAGTCGTGGTTCTATAAACAGATTCGGATTCTTACTATAATTAGCGAAGAATAGTATTTGTCTAGTTGTCTTAGAAGCGTTGTTATTAAGTA